CTCGTAGTTAGCCCACGTTAAAGAGAGCTAAAAAAAAAAAAAAAAAAGGACTAAATCTGGCTATGAAATTTCCAATGAAAGAGTTTTTAATTGAAAAATGCCAGTTCATCAAAAGCAAAAGGTTTCCTTGGAACTTGCCAGTTTTGACAAAATTTTCATGATACATTTTCAGTTTAAAACCAAACAGAGAAAAACCTGCCCTCTATCCCAGAACAGGCAGTAGCTGAGCAAGAGAGAGTGGAGAAGGAGACCTCCCTATTCTAGTACAGCCAATAAACCACAGGTTGAGGCTCTGCCCTGAGAGCTGGGAGACCTGGGTTAGAGTCACTGCTCTGAGTCAGGTTGAGCCGAGCAGTGTTTCTCAACCTGCGAGTTGTGACCCAAAGTGGGTCACAAGAGTATATGAAAGGGTCACAAACAAACTTTAAAAATGGATATCCTTTAAAGGATAATACATGGGAAACTGTGGCTTTTCCCTTGCAGGCTGGCAGAGCTCCAGCCTACAAGGGGCTGCTTAGGGCCCCCACGCCCCACACACCCACCCCCTGCTCCACACACTGTGGGGGTGGAAGGCAGCAGGTTGGGAGTGAGGGCCACTGGGTTGGGACTGGCCATCAACATTTACAGATGGGTCTTGGTGCTGAAAAGGTTGAGAACTACTGGAACAGGGACTTGAGCTAGGTCTACCACACCCCAGTGAGTGCCCTCATCCCCATGCTGTGGGCTACTCCAGGAACGTCGTTCTTTCTCTTCTCCAGGAATAATTGTTAAATCATATCAGTTACACCCCAATGAAGAGGAGGGACAGACTGAAAATCTCAACCCTTTTTGTAGGATGGAAAAACCATTTCACATGCAGCTCTATCATAACCCATGTTACAAATATGTTTCACAGTTAAAAAACATCTATTTTTCACCACTTGTACTGCTTATGATCTGGAAGCTTATTAGTTTTCTTTCTAGTTGTAGATATTTGCCCTTTCAGCTGCCATGCAGTAACCAGTATAATGTGAAATGAGCATGGCAGAGGAAAGTTTAATTTCAAACCTAAAAATGGAATTAGCAAAAGAATTAACTTACAATTTTATACTGAATAGGTTTGGGGGCTAGGGCCTGTATCTACTTGTGCGATTGCAAAGCCCCAGGGAGTGATAAGCTCCCAAAAATAGCTGGGGTCTTTGGATTCTAATGCAATAAAGTGTGTGTGTGTGTGTGTGTGTGTGTGTGTGTGTGTACACACTTTATTGCATTGGACTCCAGCTGTTCTTTTATTTATTTATATATATATACACACACACACACACACACACACACACACATATATATATATATACACACACACATATATATGCGATAGATAGATAGATAGATAGATAGATAGATAATTAGCTCTGAGAGGACTTTTGTGTTCAAACCATAAAACTGGGGTCTAAATTTCACTAAAAGTGCATTCTGATATTTGTGTTTCCTATAAAGGAAAGCCTGGTCAAATTGTTCAACAATTTCACTTATTTGCCTGGCCACACACCTGGGCATAGCTAATGCATAACTATAGCATTTTGAAGCTCAGTGCAGCTTACACCAACAGTGGTTTAATGTAATGCTTCTTTTAAATAATGTTCACAAAAAGCTTGTCTACGTGGGTTCTATATAATGCTTGTTTTGTAGAATCAGCCTGACACCAAAATCAATAAGTAGCAGTTGCCTTAAATTAAATGAGAGTGGTGATCAATTTAATGTTACTTTATTTAAGCTCCTGCATATTTTCTAATCTGTGCACAGTATTGACAAGTGGGACCTTAGAGGACTGGGACCTGGCAACATGGTCTATTAACATACTTCTGCACATACTTCAACATGTTTTCAAATTTTCCCTGTGAAACAGACATACCTCCCAGAAAGTACTTTTATATTGTCATGCCATTAATATGAGCTATGAGTAGGATGGCGGACACATCTGTAATTTATTGGAAACACAGTTTTAATGTTTTTGTTTCCGAAGTGATGGGTATTTGAATGTTGTAATTGAGAAGCTGAAATGTCACAGTCAAGATCCAATTTTCTCAGCTCCAAGCATGTCCATTGCCCATTGAAAACTTGGTTAATAGTTTCTCACATAAATTATTGTCTTGCACAGGAAGCTGCAGTACCTTTCACCATTCATCAATATCTTTGCATACTCTGAAAGAAAAGGAAGTATTCCACTAAAAATGACAAACAAGAACACCTATTTTTAATTTATTCTTTTGTGGGATGAAAAGACAGCAGTCTAGCAATAGCATCCTATTCTCTTCTCTTAAATGAGCCAGTTTCCAAACTGGTTTACAACAGCAAAACTCCTCAATCGGAGAGAAGCAGAAGCATGTTTGGAATTAAAAAAAAAAAAAATCAATTCTGTCATCATATTTAGGCTTCAAGTGATCTCAGTGGGCCCAGGGAGCTTTTCATACCAGTTAGGCTGCTGAATGAGAGCATAATCTCTTTACAGTTTTTTCTCCCCTCAAAGTGGCTGGAATCTTTTTTGTCAACCCTGCCGCACGTGAATGGTGTAGCTAATAAGCCTATTAATGAGGTTCCACAGTGGAGTGTGAATAGGTAAATAAGACCCAATCTGTTGAGGTTCAGGAGCAAGGGCAGTAAAGCCATCAAGAACTAAAGGTGACAGTTTGAACTGAAATAGGAACAACAGCTCCAGGTTTCCAGCAAAAGAAAAGACAGACAAGGCACACATTCAGCCTCTTTCTACCCCCTACTGAGTTCTATTTTCTTTCCTTTTCTTCCCTCTTTATAAAATGTCTTGAGTAGTCACCCATTTTTTCAAAAGCTCTTGAGACGTCCTTTTTCATTCTGGTAATGATACATCAATAGGGAGGAAGGAAAATGAGGACACCAATACCCCTTTGCACTGCAAGTTTTAAAAGCCAGAACAGTGCTGTCTCCTAGCATATGGGAGTGAGGGGGCAGGGGAGAAAAAAAATGTAAAACTGAACCTTTCAGTGTTCAATATTTTCGTCTCTTCTGTCAACCAGCCTTCTTGTTCTCTCACTCTGTAACTAGACGTTGATACATTATTATTCAGCATCGGGATGGCAAAAAACCTATAAGATGCAAGTAGTGCATGAAAGCACAGCTGTAATTAGAGATGGATTCACTCCAGTCCCTAGATTGGAACAAAACTCAGACTTGGGGGAAGTTAAGATCTGAACTCATATCTGTACCAGGCGCATCCCATTTATAGCAGAGAGACACAAAACTTTGGCTGACTCCAATATGTCTATGAGGAGCTGGATCAGGGTCTAAAAATCTGCAGCTGTAGCCCACCTCAAGTTACTACAGATGGAGAGTAATAACACAGGGGGAGAGACTGAAAACCCAAAAGGATGTAAAATACCCAACTTCCCTTGGAAGACAGTATGAATTGATCACCTAACTCCCTTAGGAACATCTAAAAATCTCACCCTGACTGTAACCATATCTTACATCTTATGCGCTGGCTATCAACAGAAACAATTTGTGACAGCCCTTTAATTGAGATCTCAAGATAGAAACCCAACCATGTACTTCAGTGTCCTGGAAAAATTCCCATGATAAAAGTAACTTACCCTACTACCCCATTGCGAATAAACAAGATGTTGGCATACTCAGGACTGTTTTATTGGGTGCTCCCATTAAAAGCAATGGGAGCAAAATTTCTTCTGCACTAAGTAATTTGCTTTGAACTGCTGTCTGACAGTGCTATACACACCATTAAATGTGTTTAAAATTTTTTTTTTTTAAATAAAAGCTTGCCTGAAATGAGGCATCTAAATCCATATGTCTACATCTAAATATTTTGTCGGCTGTCAAAGGACAGCCTGCAGCTCCCACAGATTCTAACGCAACTTGAAAACCAAGGGAAATTTTAGATGCCCAGCTGCTTTGCAAATGGAGCCATCATTTAGGTGCCTAAGTAATATTAATTTAGGAACCAAATGACAATCATCAACTTTTTAAAATCTTGACATAAGCAGTATTCACCATGCTTGGAAGTAGGCTCTTCCATGAGTACACATTATATAAAGAAAATGCTGAATTGAAAAACTAATGTGGTAAGAATTGCTTTATTTTAATGCCAGTAGAAAGAGTCATTACCCATAAAAGTCTAGAGTGGACCAATTACCAAATTTTTTTTTTTCAGCAGAATATGCCAGTGGACATTTCAGGGGATCAGCTTGCTGACCACAAGGAGATGAAATTAATCCTGCGTGTCCAGCAAGAGTAAGAACCTTTTTCTTTAAACCACAGTTTGTAGCAATATGATTGCTTATACCCTTCCATTTTTGGGTTCCTCTTTTCATTTGCCACACCAGATTCTCCTAAGAGAAATAAAATTATTTCAGCTTGTGCGCCGAGATAGTTTAGACAAAGGTAAGTCAGCACTGTATCACTGCAGTGCATTTCTACTCCAGTCAAGGATCAGGGTTCCATTATTCTGGATGCTCTACATACTTTTTAAGACATGTGATCATAAAACCTCCTGAATAATACTTTTAGTCTCACTTCGTTGCAGGAAGAATGGGAAGAATTGAGCTGTGTTAAAAGCTCTGCTCTCGAACTTTGAAAACATGGATTCTATTCCTAAAGCTGTCTCAGGTCTCCTGTGTGAGCCTCAACTAGTCATATATTAAATGCTCTCCATCTGTAAAATGAGGATAATAGAAGCCATCTTTGCCCAGCTCTGTCTTATCTATTTAGCTTGTAACATCTTCATGTTTTACTAGGTGTTTACATATGGCCTTGCACAATCCGACCCTGATCCCAGCTAGAACCTCCAGGCACCTAATAGTGGAAACAGATACACACACTTTGTAAAGGGTCCTAAAACCAATTGTTGTTTAGCCAGCACGGGAACATACCGATCGAAATAAAATGAGAAATACTAATGTGCATTTCTTTGAATTGGTTTTCTCACTGCTCTTAAGCAATGTCTTAGGTTTAGATCCAATTCCTTTAATAAAGTCAGGGTCTCCCTCCACCCTGTCTCCTGCCCCCATACTCTAACACATGACTTCTCTTCTGTC